TAGAGCCCGCAGGGAAGTCTGGGAATTTTGGTCTTGCAGTGGGGAGGATGCCTGACTATAATCTGGTCAGAAATGGAAAGCCCGATGGCCCCCTTGCAGCTCATCCTAGTCTCCGAGAGGCAATTGGGTGCGGAGCTCCAAGCCCTAGTGGAAGTTGAGTGTCGCTTTTCCAAATCTTCATTTGAGCAGCGGGGTTTGTTTCATTTCTGATCTGCATTGGCTAAGCTGACATTCAAAGTCCTTTATCCGTCTCGCGTTCACTAGTACCCACATTTTGCATTTGCAAACATTCTTATTGTTTGACGTTTAGATTTATTGGTATACGTCTAAAGCGCCCACTGTGCGCAAAGTTCATCCTCCACTGTGAGTTTCAAAGCCCTTAGTCGACGAGTCTGACTTTCATTTTGCATTCCCTGTTTTCAAGTCTATGATCAAATCTTTAACTCAGTTTTTTCGTTTTGCAATTTGACACAGTACATCTTGAAAAATCTCCATGTTATCTTATTTCTTATGGAAGGTAGTGTTTTTATTTATTTACACTAAATATAGGGAAATGGTGTATTGTGGTTTATAAGTGAATCGCCACAATGCCTTTCTAACTGATGTTTGTAACACCAGTTTCCTCCTCCGATTCACCCTAAATATAGGGGACAGGAATCCTGTATTAATTCTGTGTCCTCAGTGCCTGGTACAGAATGCGTACCAGGAAAATGTTTACTAATTGAACAAAAACTCCACGTTATATTGTCAATATATTACTCAAATCAGGAAGCTGAAGGCCAGGAAAGTTGCATTATATGACAATGTGGTTTGCAAACATTCTTATTGTTGGACGTTTAGATTTATTGGTATACGTCTAAAGCGCCCACTGTGCGCAAAGTTCATCCTCCACTGTGAGTTTCAAAGCCCTTAGTCAACGAGTCTGACTTTCATTTTGCATTCCCTGTTTTCAAGTCTATGATCAAATCTTTAACTCAGTTTTTTCGTTTTGCAATTTGACACAGTACATCTTGAAAAATCTCCATTTTATCTTATTTCTTCTGGGAGGTAGTGTTTTTATTTATTTATACTAAAAATAGGGAAATGGTGTATTGTGTTTATAAGTGAATTGCCACAATGCCTTTCTAACTGATGTTTTTAACACCGGTTTCCTCCTCTGACTCAAACTTAAACATAGGGGACAGGAATCCTTGTATTAATTCTGTGTCCTCAGTGCCTGGTACAGAACGCGTACCAGGAAAATGTTTACTAATTGAACAAAAACTCCACGTTATATTGTCAATATATTACTCAAATCAGGAAGCTGAAGGCCAGGAAAGTTGCATTATATGACAATGTGGGCTAAGGAGTCAAAACTAATGAGCATTCGACACCTCAAAATGCCAAACCTCACTGTATATTTTAAATAAAATTTACAATTCTACTGACTCATTAAACAATGACAAGCTTTCAGCAAGAAACATACTTGGCACTGGGAATTATTGCTCAACTGATGGCTCACATGTGTGCATGTCCTCAGAGAGAGCTGGAAGGGACCTGTGAGTATACAGTGCAGCCCTCATTTCCAGATGAAGAAACTGGACAGAATGCAACTATTAACCACTCCCAATCCTAGAACACATGATTCTGTGACTAGTCCAAGATCATGCCAAAGTAATCACCTACCTTTAGAAGACTGCCCCCCACCACCCCAAAAATATAAACAGATAGCAGCCAGCCCTTACCAATGCACATGAAAGAAAGTGCTTAAAGCCAGAGAAAGCACTTCCTAGGAAAGAAGAAACACGAGCAGTTTTCTCCAATTTTATAGTTATTTATTTTTATTTTTGGAAACCTACATGAATAGAAAAAATAAAATATGCCACATTTTAAAAACTTCTGAAAGAAATTAGTAACTCCCTATGAATCTACCAAAAAATATCTTCTAAAATAACTGATCTCATTTGTTCCACTTTCCTCCCCACTTATATACTAGTATAATGGGTAAAATCCAATTATCTAAGAAGAAATTAACTTCTCAGGATGTTTATAAGACACAAAATCTTTTAAAAAATAAAGTTTTCGGTTGTCTCTGAATCACTAGTACTTACAGCTTATGTCATTCTTTTGGAAACTTCCCTTTACTGCTTTTTGTGTGTATGGGTCTTATTTTCTCATATATATTTGTCACCCTCCTATGGAACAGGAATTGAGTTCTATATTTTTAAATTGCCACCAGCAACTTGCATATAATAGGACCTCATTAAAGATTTACTCCTCTTTTCACTTAATAACCATTGTTGGGTCAGGCACTATGACAGGCACTGGGATTATAGCAGTAAATGAACATGATCACTACCCTCCTAGATCTTATTATCAAGTCAGGGGAGGCAAAGGCTTAATGTCACACAATGAATATGTAATTTTAGAATTGTGGAAGGTGTTGTGAATAAAAAGTAGAGGGATATGATTTTATTTGAGAGATGAGAAAATGATTTTAAAATCGAAAGGATGAATAAAATTAGCCAGGTGAAGAGCGAGGGTGTGTATCAGTCTGGAGATCCAATCAGAAGAGAGAAACCACATGGAATTGGAACAGGGAAATTTGATCTAAAGAATTATTAACTATAAGGGAGGACTGGAGTCAAAATGGATTGGCTAGTAAGAAGTAACACAGAGGAATAGCAAGATAAGGAATACCCTTGAGCTAGAGATCCAGACCCCGTGGGAGGAGAGCTCATGGCTGTTGGTGGCTGGAAGGCAGGGAAGTCCCTACACTCTACACCTGTGGAACTTGCTGGAACTCCATCTTCTGGAACTTGCCAGAACTCTGCATCTGCAGGGTGCTGGAAAAGCTGCTCACAGTGAGGAGGTACTCCGCTACAAAATTGCCCAGGGGGTGCCAGGGAAGCGGCATGAGTGCGGGAGCCTGATGCCAGAGGAGCTGCCCACGTACAGGAGCCGCCAAGAAAGGAAACAAGACCCAGGAAGACCTTTTGCCTCCTGCGGTGTCTCTCTAGTTCCCTCTACTGACAAAGCTTGACATGGTGTCTGCTGACAAAGGAAAAATACATTTAAAGGACCAGATAGATTTTTCATAAAACAAGCAAAAAATAAAAATAAATTGGGAGCTGAGAGTCAATAAGTCTATAACCAGCACAGTGGAGAATAGCATAGCAGGCACCGTGAACAGCATGTGCGAAGACTCTGAGTTTGGGGAGAGCTAGGTAGTTTGCAGGAATGAAAGAAGGCCCAAGGCTGCTGCTGGTGTGGGGGGAATTAGAGCACGGTGAGGCTGAAGAGCACAGGTTATCTCCTGAGGGGAATGCCTCACTCACAACCATGGAAATGAACTCATGGGGACAGAGTGAGCCCCCACTGACCATGTCCATATTAATTGACCCTGTCTTCTGGCCATGGCCAATTCATTTATTCAATTAGGTGGTCATAGGGACAGTGGAAATGGAGAGAAGTGAATCCGTTTGATGCACTACATGAGTAGAGCCAATAGCACGTGGTGACAGGATTCGAGGTGAGAGGTGAAGGAGAAAGAGATAGCGAGGATAACCCCCATGTTTCTGTCAGGAGCTACTTGGCCAATGGCAGGGCATTTACTGACTCAGAGGACACTGGAGGAGGAACTCACTGGGGAGGGAGACAAGAATTCAGTCTTACTGATTTCTAGAGGTCTTTGTGTAAACCCAAGCTGAACAAAACTTTTATCTAATGTGACTTTTTACGTTCATCTGAAAAAGCAATTGGCAATTCATTTTTTAAAAAATATACTTCTTTTATTGATTTCAGAGAGGAAGGGAGAGGGAGAGAGAGATAGAAATATCAATGATGAGAGAGAATCATTGATCGGCTGCCTCCTGCACGCCTCCCACTGGGGATCAAGCCCACAACCCGAGCATGAGCCCTCGGCTGGACTTGAACCTGGGACCCTTCAGTCTGCAGGCCGATGCTCTATCCACTGAGCCAAACCAACTAGGGCGGCAATTCAGTTTTTGAGTTTGGAGAGAGAGAGGGAGAGGGGGAAGGGAGGGGAGGGGAGGGAGGAGAAGAGGGGAAAGGAGGAGAGGGGAGAGGAATCTGATCCCCTATAGCAGTGGTTCTCAACCTTGGCTGCACATTAGAATCACCTGGGAATCTTTTTAAAATCCTGATTTCTGGGCCTCATCCTCCGGAAATTCTGTTTCTTTGTTATGGGGTGGGGCCACAACATTAGTAACAAAGAAACAGAATTTCCGGAGGATGAGGCCCAGAAATCAGGATTTTAAAAAGATCCCCAGGTGATTCTAATGTGCAGCCAAGGTTGAGAACCACTGCCCTATAGGCAGGATGGTAATTAAGAGCTGATCTGCGTAAAAAGAGCTTGAAAAATTAAAGGCCTGATAATTAGAGGGGTTTTAAATAATAAGAACTATATAATTTAAGCTCTAGAATAAATTCATCCAGGAACAGAACAGAAAGACAGTTGTGCCATTTAGGATTTCCTGGTCTCATTCTATCTCACAAGAAACTATTTCTCCTGCTCCACTCCCCAGGGTAATTCATCTTTTTCCCTATCCCATGGGCAGCCTTGTTTTATACTGTTTCCTTTAGTGTTTTAAATACTATCCATATTACCTGCAAGATGTATCTGCCAAATAAACCAATTCTAATAAGCATGCACTATTGTTGCAATACCAGCTAGCTTCCAAGCTGTGTGCTTTGTTGGGGACATGACATTTAAAGACAGAGTACATTATTAGAAGTTCCAACCGTACCAATCTTAATAATCCTAGTGCAAATTAACAGAACACCTCGAAAACATTACAAGTAATTGCTACTTGACTTGCAAAGAATCCATTAAAAGCTACACTTTGATTTATATCTCCACTTTAAATCCCTGATAAGCAAACATTTTATTTATTTACTTATTTTAATGTCCCTCACCCCCCTGTTGTCTGTGTCCATTGGTTAGGGGCTTATATGCATAAGCAAACATTTTAAAACCATATCCACACAAAACCTGGATTACAACAGATCAGCTGTATGCGCTGTCTTAATGAAAAGCTCTGTATCGGGGGAATACATTTGGCTGCAACTTAAATTTTGGCTGCAGTCAGGAAACTACATTGAAACAGTGAGGAAGACCCTTTGTAATACTTATTATAATATTTTTTAAAAAAGAATAAAAAAAAAAAAGAAACAGTGAGGAAGAGCATGTTTTGGAAAACAAATCCCAGAGGCAGCACAGGCCTCAGGGCTGACGTGAACCAGAGGCCCAGCTGCATTTCCCAGGAGGTCTCTGGCCTGCGTTCCTTCTGCGTTGGCTTTGTCCTTGGCCTGACAGCGAAGGGACTGCAGCCGTTCCAGGCCTCCTGGCTGAGGACAGGATGTCAGAGGAGCAGAGGGGCAGTGACTGCCAGAAGCTCTCATAGAATCATTAGGAGGCCTTGTCCAGAATTTCAGATCAAACGTTGGTTTAGTCTAGTTGAGCACACCTGGCCCCAAACCAATTACTGATCCTGGGTCAAAATTGCCCTTATGCTGATCAAATCTGTACCAGGCAGGATTCTCCAGAGAAAGGGAACCAATGGGGTGATTTTACACACACACACACACACACACACACACACACACACACGGTTAGTGCTTGTTTAGATGACTGAATACTATAGCCTACCCCAGTTGACACTTAAAACTAACTATAGCCCTAACCAGTTTGGCTCGGTGGATAGAGCGTCGGCCTGTGGACTGAAGGGTCCCGGGTTTGATTCCGGTCAAGGGCATGTACCTTGGTTGGGGGCACATCCCCAGTAGGGGGTGTGCAGGAGGCAGCTGATTGATGTTTCTCTCTCATCGATGTTTCTAACTCTCTATCCCTCTCCCTTCCTCTCTGTAAAAAAAAAAATCAATAAAATATATTTAAAAAAACTATAACAAGTTCAAGTTCCATTTCTGATCTGTGCAGAGTGTGCTGAAGAAGGGGGGATATGGAAATCTGTACAAAATTGGGGTTCTGTTAACAAGTAGAGGAGCAGATGCCAAGTAGGCAAGCAAAAACCTCCACTACAAACATGTAGTAAAGAGCCCCATTACCTCTGTTATCTCTACTGTTCACCCCCAAATAACAAAGAGCATTTTCTCATATGTGACCATATTAGAGAGTTGAGTTTGGAAAGTGAACGTAAAGGAGGTGTGATGTTTTGAGAGGCAAACACACCTTAAAAAGGGTTTCTTTCAATTAAACACTGATCAGTGGATTCAGATTAGATTAAACTCTGAGTTATAGAAAAAACAACCACCCGGAGGCTTAAACACAGTAAATGCTCATTTCTCTCTCTGAGTCAAGAAGTCTGGAGGTGGTCCATCCACAGTCACACAGCACGCCAAGGTGTCGGGGAGTCAGACTCACCCATGAGTGAGTGGTTCCATTCCTAAGGCTTGCCCTTGGCCTCAAGTTGCTGGTGGAGCCACCACATTCATGTTCCAGCCAATGGGAAGGAAGATCCTGTTCTCTCCTTTCATGGAGGTTTCCTGGAACCTGCGGTGACCATTTCCACTTACATTCCCCTGGTCAGAGCTTAATCACAAGGCCTTTCCAGGCTGGAAAATGTAGGCTTTCCTCCAGGCAGCCATGTGCCTCCCAGGGTGACCAGCTGTCCTGCTTTTCCCAGAACTAAGGGCTTTCATAACACATAGCATTTCAGTGCTACAGTTGGTTACGGTGGTTTTCTTACTCTGGGAGGAAACAAGAATGGATATTGGTCATCTCTGCCACAATCACCTGGGGCTCTTTTGTTGTAACAGACAGGAAATTAGACCTAAAATAGCTTAAGCTAAAAATATATGTGTAATCATTTGTTAGCTGATGTAACTGTCAAACTGAGACCAAAATAAAGTCATTAGAACAGTGGTTCTCAACCTTGGCTGCACATTAGAATCACCTGGGGATCTTTTTGAAATCCTGATTTCTGGGCCTCATCCTCCGGAAATTCTGTTTCTTTGTTACTAATGTTGTGGCCCCAGCCCATAACAAAGAAACAGAATTTCCGGAGGATGAGGCCCAGAAATCAGGATTTCAAAAAGATCCCCAGGTGATTCTAATGTGCAGCCAAGATTGAGAAGCACTGCCTTAGAATAAGGTCCCTCAGAACTCCCTTTCCCCTGCCTCTGGGCTGCTTCATTCTCAAAGAGGCTGGGCTCCCAAGCTCACACTTAGAAATCGTCAGAAAGGAAGAGCCTTTTCTTCCCTAACAATCAGAACCAAGTGGAAGAGCCTGACCCTCACGCATCTGAATTCCATCACGTGCTTATCTCTGAGCCCACCATGTCCCCCAGGCCAGGCCGAGGTCACCCACACCCTTGGAGCAGGTGGGTCCATCCCACCCAAACCATTCGACATGCGAGAAGGGAAAGAAAGGTTGCATTTAAGAAGCTGTGGATACTATTGTCAGGAAAAGGGTGATTGGAGGCTGCTCAGTCGCAAAAACAATGTCTGCTGCAGGTGGCATCTGCATGGTCCCTGATCCCTTCCTGGTGGCTACCATGTCTGAAATGTAGCAGTTCCGTTCCCTGCCGAAAGGAGCATTCCGCCGTTACACAACTCACGCATGCGCCAGAAAAC